CCAGGGGGCAGCTCCTGCATTGAGTGTCAGCCCCCTGGTGGTCAGTGTGTGTTACAGCGACTAGTTGTTCTGCCGTTTGGTTGATATGCATATTAGCCTTTTATTATATAGGACTAGAGGCCCGGTGCACAAAAGTTTGTGCACTCAGGGGGTGCACTCGGGGGTCCCTCAGCCTGGCCTGTGCCCTCTCGCAGTCTGGGACCCCTTAGGGGATGACCACCTGCTGATTTAGGCCCGCTCCCTGGGGAATTGGGCCTAAGGTGGCAGTCAGACATCACTCTGGCAGCCCGGGAGCCCTCGGGGGATGTTCACTTGCCAGCGGGGAGCAGGCCTAAGCTGCATTCGGATATCCTTAGTGCTGCTGAGGAGGCAGGAGAGGCTCCCACCACCACCGCTGTACTGGCAGCCGTCAGCCTGGCTTGTGGCTGAGCAGAGCTCCCCCTGTGGGAGCACACTAACCACCAGGGGGCAGCTCCTGCATTGAGCGTCTGCCCCCTGGTGGTCAGTGTGTGTCATAGTGACCAGTCATTCCCAGTCTTTCTGCTGTTAGGGTCAGTTTGCATATTACCCTTTTATTATATAGGATAGAGACCTGGTGCACGGGTGGGGGCCGGCTGGTTTGCCCTGAAGGGTGTCCCGGATCAGGGTGGGGGTCCCCCTTAGGTGCCTGGCCCGTCTGGGTGAGTGGCTGATGGCTGTTTGCAGGCTGGTCAAGTCCTCCCCCCTCTCCCCCCCCAGTGGGGACCCTCACCCCATGGAGGTTTGGCCAGCCTGGGTGAGGGGCTGATGACTGTTTTCAGGCTGGCCACACCCTCTTTAGGGTGGGGGGTCCCCATTGGGGTGCCTGGCCAGTCTGGGTGAGGGGCTGAGGGCCATTTTCAGGCTGGCTAAGCCCCCTGGTGATGGAAGCTCCCAGTCTCTCCCTTTTTTCTTTTCTTTTTTTTTTATTCTGGGATTTATTTACCTTCTATAATTGAAACTTTGTTGCCTTCAGTGGAGCTCAGAGCCGGCCGGGAAGCTTGGCTTCCTCCATCACTGGAGCAACCAAGCCTCCTGCTCGCTTCAGCTCCGTGGCTGCCGGCTGCCATCTTGGTTGGGTTAATTTGCATATAGTCGCTCTGATTGGCCGGTGGGTGTGGCTTAAGGCATAGCGAAGGTATGGTCAATTTGCATGTTTGTCTTTTATTAGATTAGATTGTAATTCTTTATTTGGGTATTTATGTCCTCCACTAGGCTGAATAGCTTGTGATCTCTGGTACCTACAATACTAGCACTGAGCAAATATTTACATGATTGTTTTGAATGAATAATTGAATAATTGAGACCTTTGTCAAAGGTCTCACAGCAGAGCTAGTCTCCTCATTTCAAACCAGATTTCTTCATCACAGATATCTCTCTTCCCACCCTCAATTAGATTGTAAGTTTCTTGGGAGGAGAATATACATGTTACTCATATGTTTCCTCTAAAGCACCTACTAGTACAGTAGTCTCTGCATTCAAATTATGTAATTGAGATGATTTCCAAATATTAGTCATGGGAAAATCTAAAAGGAAAAAAAAAATCAACCATAGCCAATAGTAGCATCATTTAAGTTTGACTCCTGCAGTTTGAAACTGGAGATACAGTAATCATTTGAGAATTTAAAAAAAAATCTAGTCTAGATGAGTATGGAATTGGATATCAAGAATCCAAGCTGCTGCTACTGGCTTAATTGTCTTTGCATGGTACTGTTTTTATAGTCTCAGAAATGGAGTTTACATAATTCTGTTTCCAAATTAATAAGGAAGACATTTATGTTCTGATCCATATCTCCGCTTCCTCTCCCCCACACACTGGAAAAAAGAGGTAAGTCTCATAATTTTGGGGCCTTATATATGAAAACATGAGCTCATTGTTTGCTTGACTAGAAACAGGAAACCTCTGGGATAGTGTGTCTTCAGCCTGTCTAGTTGGTATGATTTGTGAACCCAAGAAAAGATAAAAGCATTTTTTCTTGTTCATGCTTAAAAATATATGTATAATAAAGAAGATTTGGAAAGTGCAGATTTTAAACAGGAAGAAAAATATTACCAATAATTTGCTACCAAAAGATGACAATAATAATATACTTTACATATTTTGTCTTTTTTTTTCTGGGTATTCTTTTATGTAATTGAAATTACATCTCTGCACAGTATTGCAGTGAACACTCTGGTTATTATTCTTGGAAGATATTGTCTTAAATACCTTCAAAAAGTATGGTATCATAAAATACTTTCCAAAAAATGTTTTAATCATTATATAGTTCCACTAGCAGTATATAAGTGTGTGTCTTTTTCACCATTACCACCTGTTTAGTCTCATCATTTTTAAAAAAATCTATTTTTATTGATTTCAGAGAGGAAGGGAGAGGGAGGGAGGGAGATAGATAGAAACATCAATGATGCGAATCATTGATTGGCCGCCTTCTAGGGATCAAGCCTGCAACCCAGGCATGTGCCCTTGACTGGAATCAAACCCAGGACCCTTCAGTCCACAGGCCGATGCTCTAGCCATTGAACCAAACCAGCTAGGGCCTGTTTAGTCTCATTTTTAATATTTATTTAATGAATCTTTCTAAGTGGTTATCATCCTGCCATCTAAAAGCAGCTATTTGTGTCTTATCTTCTCCCCTTCCTGCATCAACTTATTCTTATCTGGGCTCTTTCTTCACAGGGGAAAACAGAGATCATGGAACAGGAGTTCCCTTCATCCTTTCTTTACCAAACCCCAAACCTACCTTTCTTTGTGCCATGAAGGAATTCTTTCTCTTTTTGCCAAAAGCAAATCCCTACACCAGTACTCTGATCCTGTCCCTTCTTATCTTTCAAGGACCTTCCCACTCTTGTTAGCCCCATCTCTTTCCTGCATCTATAGGTTCTGCTTGATACTTCTTTTCATTGCTCAAACCGCTCCATGATCTTCATTAAAATAAAACAAAAAGCAAAGGGCCTCACCTTAAGCCTTATTGTTTTTTAGCCCCACCATATTTTCCTCAATTCACATATCTTTCAAACGAATATTTATTGTTACATGTGTCCACATTACTCTCCGTATTAAAAACATGTTTGGAAGTGAACCAATAATTCAGCTGAGATCTGATGATGTGATGTGAGTTAATGGGCAAAGGGAGTTTGCTTATTTCCCAGACCTGTTGTTGGCTAAGGTCAGTGATCTTGAAGCTGTTAAGTCTGGATACTAGTTATCATCCTACTTGATCCCTAAATAGTGTGTGACAGCATCGATTTCTCCTCCTTTGAACCTTGCTCCTTATGTAATTCCACACTTTTATGGGTGTACCCCCTGCCTCTGGCTTGGTTTCTGTATGCACTTTTTCACCCAACCTGAGTGCCGGAATGAACTTAGGGCTCAGCCATGAGCCTTTCCCTTGTGACTTCCTTAGGTAGCCTCATTTATTCTCATGGCTTTAAATGTCTTCTGTGTGTCAAGGTGACCCAGATTTATATCTCTGGCCATGACCTTTGCAAAGTCAAATGTAAAATACCCAAAACGAAATCCTCTGTCTTCTTCCTTTTGAAATAAGCTATCCCTCCCTTCACTGTTTACTTTTTAAGGAAATGCCAGTTGCACATACATATTTCCCCCCAGTAATCTTGGATTATTCTTGACCCTTCCCTCTTCTCTGGCATTGTCCTTCTTAACACTGCTAATAAATTGTTCACTGTGTGCTGGGCACACTATTCCTCTATCTGGAAGACTCCTCATTTGCTTAAGGAGCAAGTATATTATAGCTAACAGTAAATGTTACCTTCCATTGGGTGTTAAATTTCCAGGTGATTAAAATTTTATTTTGGTTTTAGACTTTTAATTTCTATTTATTGCACAATTTAGAGAATATGTCCTGTACAGTTTCTACTTTTGAAACTTATTATCAATTTTTATACCAAGGCTTGTAACACTTGATAACTTTTTAAAAAGTATCCCAGGAGTGTATCAACATTTTTCTGTATATTTTATTTTCACGTTCTTCATGGTTTTAACTTCTCATTTCATTTTTAACAGTTTTTTCTCAAGATATGATAAAGTAGGATGGAATGTGTATAAAGAGTTCATTGATATTCTTGCTGGATTGCACCCTTCTTCCATGTTAAACTTACCTATGTGGTGATTTTATATACCTTAATATTAATATTGTCATTTCAGTTAATTTTATTTTAGCATTCACCTGGTATATCCATATCCATCATTTGATTTTCAACTTTCCTTAGTGTTTTTGTTTCAGTCATGACTCTCGTAAATAATACAAAGCTAAATTTTTATTTTTTTCCAGAGCCCTTCAGTAGGTAGATGGGTTGGTTTTTATGTATTATCAGTCTTAAAATACTGAGTTTTTATTTTACTTACCATTTATTAAATAAGTATTTTATTGGCACAAATAACTCTTAACCTCACTGAAAATATAATTATCACAAAGGAGGAAATAAATTTCTCATGATCTCAGCACCCCAAAATAACCAGTTACAACAGTGTGCTAAATGCCTTTTGTTTATGGAGGAAGAAAGGATGAAAAAGAAGATAGAGAAGGATGAAGGGAGAACAAATTTTATGTCAGGATCTTCAACAGTGTTAATTTTCTTGTGTTATGAATTAATAGCTAGCACTCTAAAGCAGGGAAAAACAAGTATTCTTTGTTTTAGAATCAAGCACAGTGCCTGATGTAAGCATTCAGTAAATGCTTAAGAAATGAATAAAAGAAAGAAAAGAACTTTGTAAAAATGTTTTATTTTATTGATTTTAGAGAGAGGAAGGGAGAGTGTTAGAGAGATAGAAACTTCAGTGATGAGAGAGAATCATCTATTGGCTGCCTCCTGCATGCCTCTTACTGGGGATTGAGCCCACAACCTGGGCATGTATCCTGACCTAGAATCGAACCAGTGACCTCTTGGTTAATGGAGCGACATCTAACCACTGAGCAACACCGGATGGGCAGAACTTAATTTTTCTTGTTCTCTCTCTAAAGATTTCCATGGAGAATGATTATCTGGGTCCCCGAAGAATTGAAAGTTTACAAAAAGAAGATGCTGATTGGCAGCGGAAAGCTCACATGGCTGTGCTCTCTATTCAGGATCTTACTGTCAAATATTTTGAAATAACAGCTAAAGCTCAAAAAGGTGAGTTTCTCAGTGAAGTTATCCTTGTTTAATTTTGAAAACAAGTGGTTTAAATATTTTATGTTCACATTAACTATGTTGAAAAGTATATGAAAATCACTAATAGTCCTAACAATTAGGAAGGAAGATCACTATTAACAAAGTTATATCCAAAGTCTTTTCTAGATATATTAGTAATGGGATATTGATATAGTATAATTCAGTTCTGACACTAAGCATTCACAATTACAGACCCCACAATTTAAAGGCACAGCGGTGAGTCTCCAACAAGACTATCCTCATCTCGGGCACTATTCCCTCATTTGAGGGGGGCGGGGGTCCTCAGGCCATCTGCTCTTCTAACCAACTTGCTACCAATTTGGGGATTCCCATAGCTTTTTTAGGTTCAGTAATTCACTACAATGACTCAAAGAACTCAGGAAAGCACATTCTTAGAACTTATAAATGATACAAATCAGGACAAGCCAAATGAGACATAGGGCAAACTCTGTGAAGGTTCATGTCTTTCAACTTCCTTCCATAGGTGGCCATAGAAGTTCTTCAGTGGCTTCTTAATATGAATTCAAACTCAGGGCTGTTCATTATATTAATAATCTGTTATTCTCTTTACCTGCAGTTAATACAGGTTAACATTCAGGTGATTCTTTCATCAAATCCACATTTTCTTAAGTTTAATTTAAAGCAATTTATCCCTTCAGAATGCCAATGCAGAATGAGAATACTTTTCCTTGATTTCTCCACATCCTTCGGCATTGTCATAAAAACACACAAAACCAACAATTTGATAAGTGAAAATAGTATCATGTTTTTAAATTTTACATTTCTTTGGTTATTGAATGTTGATCTTTTTTGTTTTCATGTAATAGTTGGTATTTGCATATTCTTTTTTCATTTAACATTTTTGCTTATTTTTCTATGGTATTTTTTGTATTGATCTGTAAGAGCTCCTAATATATTCATTGATATTTTTATTATATTTCTATTATAGTTGTATAGTTTTGACATCTGTTGCAAATATCTATTCCTAAAAATTTCCTTTTAACATTTTTTGTTATACAAATTTTATTTGTAAAAATTATCAGCTTTTAAGAATGATTTCCTTTTTAATCTTTAAATTATGTTAACTTGTAGTTTCTAAAGTAAGTTTCTGTGTTCCTCCAAATAGTTAAAACCTACTAAAAATCCTTTTATATACTTAGATTTCTTTCTAGACTGTCTTTTCTGTTCTTATACTGTAATTGTAACTTCATAACAAAATTTATTACCTAGTTTATCAATTAACCCCTCTCATTATTTTTTAAAATATCTTGGCTATACTCAATTATTCTTCACTAAAATAGTATTATAACCCTTTTGAAAAATCACATATACTCTTTTTTTTTAAGTTAGAATTATTTCTTCCCAAACTAATATAATTCTGATCAAAACTACAATGTTTTAGGATTTGAAAGAGGATTTTAATATTCATGAGGAAGAGTAAATGCTTTATTAAATAAACATGTTATAGGATAATTTGTAGGGGGAAAGTGTGGTTGGCATATCATGCCATTTATTCAAGTTGATTAGGCTTTTTGTTTTGTTTTAGTTTTGGTTTTTTATCTGGGTCCTACACATTTCTTGTTCAGTTCACTTCTGGGCTTTTTATGTTTTACCTTTGTTATTATGAAAGGACATTCCTTTTAATAGGTTTTGAGCTTTATTTTTTAATCTTCAAATCTTTAATTCTGTTTTGGTGATTAATATGGTATAGAATGTGTTCAGGTTCTTATGCAGATGTTTCACTTCTATACAAAGTGAAATTTGATAGCTGTAATAAAACCTGTCAATAATTATATGTGATTTTTATTTGTTAAAGAATAAAGTAAATATGGTTTGTTTGTTAGATTTAACAAAATGCTTTAGATAGATGGAATTATAATTAACATGTAGTGTTTGACTACGAAGTGCTTTCCTTCATTCTTTTAAGGTATGTTTTAGTTAGTAATACTTTTTGTTTTAATGTTGATGTGAGTGATTTTGTGCATAGATGCTGGCAAAAGTGTCTGACGTTTATGCTATTGCTACTTTTTAAACTCATAGTTTTAATCACCAAGGTTATCGTGTCCCATCTCTCCTGGTCCTGAAATATAGATATTTGCCTAAGCAGGTGGCAAAAGTTTGAGTAAGCCATATTACTTGTCTCTCCCCATCTTCAGTCTTTTGGGAAAAAATAGTATAATATGATTAAGGAATTTTGAAAATCACATATACTTTATTATTCTGCCACCAGTCATCATCTCCTACTTCATGTCTATTTCAAGTACACATGAAAATACTTTACATTTAAAAATACATTATATTAAGATGAGATATTGCTATAGAACTTGCAGGCATCAAAAGGATAATAAAGAAAATGCTACAGACAACACTTCACATGCAAATTTAACAAAGGTGAAATGGAAGAATTCCCTGAAAAACACAAACTACCACAATTCATACAAGTTGATAATAAATAACGAATATTTTTATAACTATTAAAGATATTGGATTTGTAGTTTAAAATCTTTCAAAAAAGAATTTTTTAGGCCCAAATGGTTTCACTGGCAAATGTTACCAAATATCTGAATAGTAATGCAGCTCTTTCTACACAATCTATTCCAGAAAATAGAAAAGAAAAGGAACACTTCCAATTTATATTAAATGAGACCAGCAATGCCCTACATCCAAAACTACACAAAAACAGTACAAAAAAGAAGAAAACGATAGACCTACATTCTACATAGATGCAAAAATCCTCAACAAAATATTGGCAAATTTTAAAATATTTAAAAATTAACAATCATGACCAAATGGGGTTTATCCTTCCTCATTCAGTATGTGAACATCAATCAATGCATTCTACTGTCTTGAAGGTCTAAAGCAGTGGTTTTTAACTGGCTGTGATGTGTCACACAAAAGGACACGGAGCAGTGTCTGGAGACATATTTGGTTTTCACAACAGCATAGTGTATTGCTAGCATCTTGCCAGCAGAGGCTAGAGATGGTGTTCGACATTCTATGTTGCACAGGACAGCCCACCATAATGGCTAAGAATTTTCTGGCTTATAATGTCAAAAGTGCTGGTGTTGAGAAATTCTAGTCTTAATTTAAAAAAAGCATGATCAGTAGATGTTGAAAAAGCATTCGGCAAAATATAAGATCACATGTGCTAAAAAAAACTCAGCAAACTAGGAACAGAAAGGAATTTCCTTAAATTAATAAAGTGCATCTACAGAAACCCTAAAGACATCATCTCAGTTAATGGTAAAAGACTAAATACCCCATAAACTAGGTAAAAAGTCAAGAAATGTTCACGCTTGCCATTGCTATTGAATGTAATATAGTAAATCTTAGCTGGTTGTAATAAGGTGAGAAAAAGAAATAAAATGTATATAGTTTGGAAAGGAAGAAATATAATAGTCCTTCCTATTCACAGATGATAACATTGTTTATGTAGAGAATTATATGGAATCTATTTTCTAAACTCTTGGAACTAACAAGTTACTTTCTCAAGGTCACAGGAAATAAGGTCATCCACAGAAGTGAATTTTAGTGGGACTTAAATAATTTTAAATAATCTTGAATATTTCAACTAAGATTTCCAGGAAAAATGTATAAACCATCACAGAATAAAGTTTATATAGAAACTTTGAAAGTAATGACACTGGACATGTGAAAGAGCATTTTTAAAGTTAATCTGACAACTTAGTTTCATATTCATAAAGTTATTTCTGAGGAAGATTATTTAAAATTTTTATAGAAGACATTAGAATCTAAGATATTGTTGAATAATATTTTAGAGCCATTATAAGTAAATTATCATGGGGGTAGGATTTGGGTGTTTATCTTTGAGTATGTGGTTAGTGAAAGCTAAGTCTTTCAAATTCTTTAGTATCAAGTTGTTTTATATCTTAATGTCTTTAAAAATTGTTATTAATAGCTGTGTACGATCGAATGCGAGCAGATCAGAAGAAATTTGGTAAAGCATCTTGGGCAGCAGCCGCTGAACGTATGGAGAAACTCCAGTATGCAGTTTCTAAGGAGACGCTGCAGATGATGCGAGCTAAAGAGATCTGTTTGGAACAGAGGAAACATGCACTAAAAGAAGAGGTAACAAAAATGCAGAAAGATAAAAAAATTTTTAAAACTTAAGATTTAATTTTATCTTCGTACAAGACTGACATTTTTCTGATTCTACAATCAACTGTTTATTTTGCACTGACTCCATTAGACAATAATACTCATGATGGGGCCTATGATTTGAGGTGCCATTAATAGAAAAGTTAGATACATATGGTATTTTCACAGCATCACCGTGGGAATATAGGCATCAATGCACTATTAAGACAAAAAGGAGGTCTACGTTAGAATTCCTTTGCTTTCTTTTAAAATTTTTATACTGTAATGTTCAAAGCTTTCCGACAATTATTAAAGTTTCACTGCCTAGGGAAATTTAGCAAAAATCCTAGGGCAGTAACATTTTATTAGACTTCATTATATTATGCTCAGACCATTACCTTTGGAACTTTCATTTTATTTCTTCTGGAACAAAAAAAGGTTAATAGAGGTCCAATTTTCTTGACTGGGCTTTAATTTTCTCTTCATGTATACAAAAAAGAAAGAAAAAGCTATAGAAATCCTTGAAAAGGGTTTCTTAAAACCTACCTAAAATGAACTTCTAAAAATTAATTTTTTTTCATTCTCATTCTGTTTATCAGTGGTTTTAGTATACCTTGTAGGGTCCAAAACAGCACTTGATATACCATTGATGCCCAAATCTTGCTTGAAAATATTGCAACCATTAAATGTATACTAAATGTGTACCTTCTAAACCATTAGTTTTGAAATACTATTATATATTTTATGTTTTATTATTAAACTCAGCCAGAACAAATAGTTTTTTATAAAATAGTACTTAACTATCTACAATGGTGTATGCTGCTAGTTTTTCTAAGTATTAGAAGAAGCAAATGTTATGGTCTAGGAATACGTACAGTATTTTTGAAAATCAGGAAAGTATATAGTTTTAATAGTGAATGAAGATTAAAACTAGTATTAGGGATGGATCTAAGCAGGTGTTCTAGATAGTAGGTAGTAACATTTGATGGTTTAGGCACAACTATTCAGTTTGTGCGTTGTACCCAGAGTTAAAACTCAAAATACTAGCATATCAAAGATGAAAAGCAGTCAAATTATTAAATAAATTTTGGAAACCAAACTCCTTCATTTCCCCGTATAGCAGGTCTTCCTCAAATCTCTCCTTTCTGCTAAGGGCGCATGGTTCTTCAAGATACTCCAGGCCCAAAACCTTAGGGTCATCTTTAACTCTTCCCTTTCTTTTGCCTCCTTTTTCTGCTTGTTAGAATTCTACCCAACTAAAATGTCCCTGCTCAGTTTATTCATTTAATAACTATTTGTTAAATGTTTTTAATGTTTTTGCTAGGAATTATAATAGGTGATGGGGATGAAGACATGATTAGTACTCCCTCCCCCCTTTTCTTTAAGCATAAAAAGGTGCAGTCCTGGTGTTTTGAGTTCTTAGAGTATGGTGGGTAAGACATGGGCAGTGTGCGAATGAGCTGTGAGATAGACAGGTATCATTATATGTAAAGTGGACCCTTGGAGGAATATTCCACTTTGACCCAAAGGACATAGGTGAAGAGAACTACATGTTGCAGGAGTCCTAGTAGAGGCAGGAAAAGTCAGCCTAGTTATCTGGAGGAGAGTAAGAAAGGAAGTTGGAAAGTAAGCAAAGTTTAGGGTTGGCCTTCTATGCCCTGCCAAGGAATTTGAATTTTACCCTAAAAACAGTATAGAGCCATTGTAAGATTTTAATCAAGGAGTAACATGGTCAGATTTGTTTTTATGAAATATTATTCTGGGCAGTTTCTAGAGAATTGATTTGAAAGCCATTCTTAAATCCTTAACCCATTTTCTTTACAAAGGAAACTTTTCAAATTGCATTTCTCATAATTTGGATCTTTAATTCAGTAATGAAAGAGGTTTGAGTTAAAGGCAATAGGAAATTGAGAAAGATTAAACTTACATTTTGTTTTGATAACCTGAAATTGCTGCTTTTAAAGCTACTCAGGATTTCAGGGTATTTCTAGGCAGCTGAGAGCTTGAGGTCCAGATTGCACAGGTCTGGCCTCCTCCTGAATGGACATGAGCTTGTGCTTTTGTTCAGATAGCACTGCAGTCATCTTGAATAGACTTGTAGAAGAGGCAAGAAGTATGGATTTTTGTTGGACAGAGGAGAATGAGCTGGATTAGGCAACTGAATTTATACTAGCTATTTTAAGAGAGGAATTATACTTCAGAAGGATTAGATAAGAATAAAATTATTTGCTTCATCATTAGATTTGTAGTACTTTGTAGCTCAAAATGATTTTTAAATCGTATTTTGAGACATACTTCATATACCATATAGTTTTCCCATTTAAAGCGTAACTAAGCAATACAGTCAACTGCAGAATATTTTCATAACCCCCAAAATAAACCTGTGTCCATTAGTAGTCTTTCTTCATCTCCCCTCCAAACCTCCCCCAGACCTAGGCAATAACTAATCTACTTTCTGTCTCTCTAAATTTTCTATTCTGGACATTTTACTGTAAATGGAATTATAAAATATGTGGTTTTTTTACTTAGCACGTTTTCAAGGTTCATCCATGTTGTAGCATGCATCACTTGAAAGCAAAGCATTTTTATTATGCCTTTTGTTATGTTATAACAAATTTACATTATCACCACCAATGCTTCTTACAATTTGTCTTTGTATCATAGCCATCCTGGTGGGTGTGAAGTGGTATCTCATGGTTTTGACTTGCATTCCCTAATCGCATTGATGTTGAGTATCTTTTCGTGTGCTTACTGCCCACTTAACATATCTTCTTTAAATAAACATTCAGATCTTTTGGCCATTTTTAAATTTTTTTTATTACTAATTTGAAAGTTCTATACAAGTCTTTTATCAAATACATATATAATTTGTAAATTTTTGCTCCCATTCTGTGGATTGACTATATTGTTTTTTAAAACATTGAGTATATTTGTGAAAGTAGTACATTTTTGTCTGTAAAGAAAAGCAAAATGTCCCTGCTTACCTATACATATGAAAGCCTAAGCAACCATTACGACGGAACAACCAGTCACTATTACGCACACTGACCACCAGGGGGCAGGCGCTCAATGCAGGAGTTGCCCCCTGATGGTCAGTGCGCTCCCACAGAGGGAAGCTCTGCTCAGCCAGAAGCCATGCTCACAGCTGGCGAGGGCAGCTGCGGCGGCAGCCCGGCGCCCAGCCCCAGTTCGGGCTCCTCCCTGGCCACCTACCGCTTGGCGCACTGCTATGTCCCTCAGGGGATGTCCGACTGCGGTTTATGCCCAATCCCTGCAGGCCATTGCGAGAGGGATGTCCGACTGTGAGAGGGTGCAGGCCGGGCTAAGGGAACCACCACCACCACCACCACCACCACCCCCTAGTGCACCAATTTCATGCACCGGGCCTCTAGTATTAATATAGCTTTATGAAACATTTTGGGCTTAGGAGGCATACCAAGACAGTTCTCATTGACATTTTAAAAGTGCATATGCTTGCCTCTTGTTTAAAAAATAGTATATGAGCCCTGGCTGGTGTAACTCAGTGGTTAGGGTGTCATCCTGTGCACCAAAGGGTCATGGGTTCAATTCCTAGTCAGGGCACATACCCAGGTTGCATGGCATGTATGGGAGACAACTGATAAATGTTTCTCTCTTTCCCTCTTCCTCTCTCTAGAACCAATGAAAAAACATATCCTCGGGTGAGGATTTATTTTTTTTTTAAGTGTAGAGGTATCGTGGTCGTGATCTAGAAAGAAATTTTTTTGTTAATGAAGTTAAAATTGTAGTTTTATTTTTCCCTTACATTTTCATATTTGCTGCTATTGTTAAAGATAAAATTGGATCTTTTTGTTACTAGCTGTCTGGAATTTTCTTCTAAGTTCCAGAACTTTTGAAACTTAAAATCCTAGCACTTCATTGCCTGTGAAGTAGAGTATCACTCTTTGTCTTCATCACATTGACTAGCTTTATTCTAAGCAGACTGACATTGAGTTGTTCTGACAACATAGGGAATCATAAAATATGTGGTTTTATTTAGCATGTTTTCAAGGTTCATCCATGTTGTAGCATTCATCAGTACTTTTTTGTTATGTTTGTTTTAGGGTGCCTAAAAGAGCTGCTGAGTGTAAGGTTTCTGATTGCAGTACTTGCTATTGCAGGAACGTTATTCTTACTGGAATTGGTCTAGGGTGGTAGAGGAAGTTAAAATGGGCCCTGAGAATCTGGGATGATGATTATCTGTGGGTCATTTTCCTTGGAGCCATCCTGTTACCTTAACAGTCTGTTTTTTAACGTTCTGGATTGTGTTTGAATCTTCAAAGGTTTTGGTAAAACTGCCAGTTAGTCATTCTTGCCAAGTTTATGATTGTTGTGTGTATATAATATATGCATTGTGCTTTTTATATGCGTCTGTGATGATTTACTATACAGTTTTATTAGCGTTAATTTAAGGTGACCACATTACTCATGAGAAACAGAACAAATGTCAGTTATTAAGCCCATCCCAAACAAACGCTTGCCAGTGAAGACCTTGTGATACAGTACTACCCTGTGATTTAAGTGATGGGGAGACTTTTGTTCTTTTAAAAAATGTCACTATGTTGTGTTTCCTTAGGTTATTTTGAAGACAAAAGACTTCTTCCTGATGTGAGAAAACACTTTAAAAATAGCAATTAAATTGAAAATATTTAGTAATATTTGACATGAGTATAATGCTGAACTTGAAACAAAATTTCTAAATTAACACTGAAATATTAAATGTCACCTGGGCAAGCAAAATTCTATTTAAATTTTAAATTTTCTTAACACTATCTAGTATTCAGAATAAGTATGATGCCTTTTACTCTATCTCCTTTTTAACTGTTTCTGAGTCTTGATTATAGCCATTCTTACCCTTTTTAGGTCACAGACAATTTATCCCTTTAATGATTTGAAAGCGAGGAACCCTGTACTCAGAGAAATACACATATGCACAGCTTTGCACACAAATTTAGTAGGTTCCCAGATCATCT